GCCATTGTTTCTAAGAGGGCTTCCCCTAGAAGTCTTTCTGCCAACACCCACCACTTTGGCAACACAGCCTGTACAATAGCAGGTTCTCGACAGGTGCGGTGGCTCACCCCTGTAATCGCAGCACTTGGGGAGGCTGAGGCAGGCAGATCACCTGAAGCCAGGAGTTCGAGACTAGCCTGGCCAACATGGTGAAATCCCATCTCTACTAAAAACACGAAAATCAGCCGGGCTTGGTGGTCGTCACCTCTAATCCCAGCTACTTGGGAGGCTGAGGCAGGAGAATCCCTTGAACCTGGGAGGCGGAGGTTGCAGTGAGCAGAGATCACACCACTGCACTCCAGCCTGGTCAACAGAGTGAGACTCTGTCTCAAAAAGAAAAAAGCAGATTCTCAAGTCAGAGGGACCAAGCTGGAGGCCCTACCTTGAGACTTAGATGTGGGGCGGCCCTGGGCAATATACCTAAACTCTCTCGACATCAGCCTCCTTGTCTTTTAAATGGGTCTAATAATGTGACTTACCCCACAGGAGTAGTTGTGCGGATTAAATAATACAATAATGTAAAATATTTATTACAACTCCAAGCATTTAATAAGCACTTACTAAACACTAACCATTTTTACTATTAATTGGCTATTGGGTAAGTAAGTCCCTGAAGCTCTCTAGGTCTCAGTTTTCTTATCCATAAAACAGAATGAGGTGGGAAGGAGGTAGGACAACCTAATTTTTTAATGTTCCTTCCTGCCCTGGCATTTTATGGTTCCAGGCACGTGTTGCTAATGAAGGGTAAAGACAAAATAGTATTATAAAACTCCAAAAGATGTTTTGCTTCAGATTCCTGGATAAAACTCTCCCATGAAGGCAAATTCAATGGACACAAGTTTCTTCTGAATTACATCTAGACAAGGGAAATTAGCATTCAACCTCTGTGGCTCACTAGCTGACCTTGCAAAGCCTCAGTTTCCACATCTGTCAAATGGAGCCACTTTATGAGGTGGTTGTGAGGATAAATGAGTTTACTCTCATAAGGTGTTAGCACAGTGGCTGGGACCAGTTAGTGCGTGCTCAGCGCTGGCTGACAGTATCGCAGAATCAGGAATAAGCAGATTGATCCTTGAAAACTGTTGAGCCACTCAGCCAGCCCTGCAGTGGCTGTGGACCCGGGGCCTGCTTCCTCAGGAAGGTCAACCACAGCACCATCCCCCAGAACAGAGTCCACCCAGGAGGCCTCCCCGAGCCTAGGGCTGCCGGCCTGCAGGAAGGGGGATAGAATGCCAATCTTACCAGGCCGAGGTTCAGAGAGTTGTTGTCATCTTCGGGCATGGGCAGGTACACGGCCAGGGCCACACAGTTGGCAAAGATGGTGAGCAAGATGATCATCTCGAAGGGCCTGGAGCCAGGGTTAAGGAGAGCCCTTGAGTGAGGCCTGGGACTTATAGGGTTAAGGGGAAGAGGGAGCTGAGGATCAGTCTGGACTGTGACTCTGACGCCAGGCTGGTGGACAGGCTCTTTCTTGGACACTCGTCCACGCTGCTCCTTCCCTCAGCCCCTGGCAGGGTACAGCGAGGACCAGGTTCCCGCCTTGACATCTGGCTCCCTCTCCTCAGGAACGAGCCACTTCCACGTAGATGCCTTGGAATGACAAAGGTCTGGTACCTGGGGGTCTTCACACCACCCCACTCTCAGTGCCTGCCCACGCCCTTCTGCTCCCAAGGAGCTGTGGCTTTCTCAGATTCTGGCCAATCTGCAGGGGTTCACCCAGAGAAATGGCACGGGAGGGTAAGGGTTGATGTAGGGTAAGGTTAAGAACTCACCGAGCAGGACTGGGAACGAGGGATGGGGAGATGAAAGCTGAATTTCCGGAGCCACGTGCCCCTTCTGGTGTGCTCACACCCTTCACACCTCACCCCTCCCAGGCACACCTACCCCGCCACAGCCATTTCCAGAGGACATCCCAGGCCCATGGCTTTCTTAACTTTCTGACCCATTAGATGACAAGTGTGAAAAGAACTAGATGAAGCAAGGGAGGAAGCGAGGGGGTTGTCAGGGGGCGAATGGAGAGGCATATTATGTAGATGAGCTTGACAGAAAAACCCCATTCTCTTCCCAGCAACCTCCAATGTCTGAGAAGAGAGGAGGGCCACGGGGGGCTATGGGAGGGGAAGGCTCAGAGGAGCAGAGGGTGGAGAGGGAGAGCCCACAGGGGAAAGCCGATTGCAGAGAGGCAGGAAGGAGGGCCCAGGAGGGTTTGCTGCGGGCAATCCACCGACCTGGCTGAGAGCAGGTGAGGGCAGCGGGGCTGACCCTGACCCCAGACTATCTCCACTTGCCCCACGTTTCCCTTGTCCTTCCCGTTATCCCTCATTCTCTGTCCTTCTGGGGAGCAGCTGGTGGGCGCCCAGCCTTCCAGAACTCCTCAGAGATATTTCAGATATGCCGACCCTCGCTCCCAGCGCCCACTTGACACAGGCCTCTCCCTCTCTCTGCCACTCCTTCCTCCCTTCCCCAAATAACCCAGATAGTTTCATCATTCTTCCTCCCAGAGCAGAGGAAAACACAGCATGGGACTTGAAGTCCCTGTCCCCAGGGTAGCCTGTCTGCGCTAGAACAGCCAGGCTTGCTTGGCCTGCACCTTGGAGCCACTCAGGGCAGGCGTCTCGCGGACGCTTCTCCCTTTGGCTCTGTCCTCAGCTGGGACGCGCCCCCAGAGGAAGCCTTCCCTCAACTCACCTCCCCACTGTCACCTCCCATCCAACCCAATCAAGGGAGAGTTATCTCAAAGAGGTCATCGTGTCTTTTTTGGGTCCCTATCCTATTCCAAAATAAGGCTGGTGCTTCAAAAACCTAGTGGCACCTCGTGGTAATGTGGATTTGGGCACGCCTGGGAGCAGTCCCCATGAAACCAGCCCCACTCATAGGTGGTCAGTAGGTGTCTCTGGTTGTCACACAGGACTTGGGAGGCCCACGAAGGCCCAGGAAGCCCCACCAAGTCCTCCCACCAAGTCCTCCTCCTTCTCTTTCTTCCTCTTCTTCCTCCGTCTCCTCCTCCTTTTCCTCTTCCTCCTCCTCTCCTGCTAAGCCGAGGGCTCCTTCCCAGGCTCCTCACTCCATTCTGTGGGTTCACCCCATATCTAAGTTCTGGGTCTCCCTGGCCCTCCTGTAGAAAGTTTGTGCTCTGTGACGGCCCCACATCCCTCCCCCATGACACACACTCCCCCATGGCCCGGACCCCGAAGGATACTTCCATTCCACGATGCTGATGCAGGCCTTCCTCAGGGGGTTCTGCAGGGTCAGGCAGAACAAGGCCCGGGGTGGCCTTGGCAGAATCTCAGGAGCTGGCTTCTTGGGCTGTTTCTTTCTCAGGCCTTCATCCTGGGGTGAGGACGGCTCCATGGCTCCCCTGGTAACCTGGCTTTCTCCTGCTCCCTCACCCCAGTGCCTTCTCTTCCCTGTGTCCCCAATGCCCCCGCCTTGGGGACTGGGCTGGCTGAGGCTGTCGGCTCAGCCTGCCCTGCTGAGCCAGCCGGGGGTGGGGGGGGGGGCGGGGGCAGGAATGGGGGCAGGAGGATTACTCTCCTTGCTCCCAGCAAGTAAAATTAGCTTCCACTCGGCTCCCTGCTGCCGGGCCTGAGCTCCCAAGGCCAGGCAGCTGTCATTCCATCCAGCCCAGCCAGTGACTTCCCAATCTGTCCCCTGAGGAGGGTGGGGGGTGGGGGGAAGAACCTACACACAGGCCTGGGAGGGGACAGCGACAGTGGGACAGGGAGACAGGATGGAAGGTTTCAAGCCTGGGGCCACAGAGGTAAGGAAGGGGCAGCCTTCTCTATGAAACCTCCAACTGCAGAGTGGCCCCCTCATGCCAGAATTAGGTTTCCCCCTCCTCAGCCCCATGACATTGTCTGGAGAAGGCGCTGGGCAGCCTAAGTCAGGACAGCTCCACAGCACCCCCCGTCCCCCGACACACACACACATAGCCATCTCAGTATCTGCACCATCAGCCAAGACTCCCCAAGCATACCCTCACCCGACCCCCAAGCAATCCCATGTCAGGGAAACAGTAAACGCCTCCCCAGCGGGCTGGGAGGCTCCCAGGACAGCCCCAAGTGTGCACACCTGACATAGCACCTGCATCACTGTGGGAACCTGCTGTGCATCTTTCTTCCCCACTTCCTCCCACCCCTACAGGTGTAAAGCTTGTGTGCTTCATCTCTGGGACTCTGGCCCCTCCTCTGGAGAGTTCCCCACATATACCACACTCCCTGTGTTCACTGAGGCCAGGCATGGTGGCTCATGCTTGTAATCCCAACACTTTGGGAAGCCAAGGTGGGCAGATAGCTTGAGCTCAGGAGTTCGAGACCAGCCAGGGCAACATGATGAAACTCTGTCTCTACAAAAATTCCACAAATTAGCAGGGTGCGGTGGTGTGTGCTGTAGTCCCAGCTACTAGGGAGGCCAAGGTGGGATGATCAGTTGAGTCGAGGAGGTTGAGGCTGCAGTGAGCCAAGACTGGGCTGCTGCACTCCGGCGTGGGTGACAGAGTGAGACAAAAAGTTCATTGAGGCCAGGTGAGGTGGCTCATGTCTGTAATTCCAGCACTTTGGGAAGCAACGGTGGGCAGATCACTTGAGGTCAGGAGTACGAGACCAGCATGGCCAACATGGTGAAACCTGGACTCTCTAAAAATAAAAAATTTAGTGGGCATAGCGGTGTGCGCCTATAATCCCAGCTACTCTGGAGGGTGAGGCAGGAGAATCGCTTGAGCCCAGGAGGTGAAGGTTGCAGTGAGGAAGGATCACATCACTGCACTCCAGCCTGGGAGACAGCAAAACCCTGTGGCAAAAAAAAAAAAAAAAAAAAAAAAAAAAAAAAAAAAATTCATTGAATCTCTGAGCTAACAGCGCACCCCACATACCCTCCCAGCAAGTACTCTGGACTGGGTTCGGGAATGAGAAAGGGGCACCAGGAAGGGTAAGGGTAGACAGTGATCTAGGAATGAGAAAATTCAACAATCATTTTATTTAGCTCTTTGGTGCCAACACAGTGCCAATGTACCCATATGCACACCCCCTCCCCCAAGGCTTACAGTCTGAGGAAAAAACACACAGTCCCCACCCAGCCTGGGACGAAACTAGACGACCTCATTGCGGGGGCGGGCAGGGAGTGATCGCCCCCCCACCAGGGAAGCCAGAGAACGCCACCAGGGCACACAGGTCGCCTCTGCTAAGTCTGTGGGTTCCCTTTGGGCTGAGCGCCGGCAGCAGTCTGGTCTCCCATCCCCTCCTCTGGGTTCCTTTCTCAAGGGCCAAAAGCGCTCCCGAAGTTGTTTGTATTTGAGGCCATCTGGTGGAGAGCAGGGCGTATAACCGAGGGATCAAAGCCGGGCTCGCCTCCCGCGGACTTGCAGAGACTGGGCTGCGCCTGGGGCGAGGAAGGACGGACCGGAGCCACCTGAGGCCGAGCGGGAGCCAGACCCAGGGATGACCGTCCTGGGGTGCCCCCCTGCACCCCGGAGGGAACGCAGCGCGCCCCTCGCAGTCCCAGGCCCTGCCCCTCGCTGCACCGCGGAGCTCCCCACGTCTCCATCGCGTCCCTCGCACCCCTTGCCCGCACTTCTTCCCCAAGCTGGTGGAGGAGGGAGGGTGTCGCAGACGCGGGAGCGCAGCGGGCCTCCTGCAGTCACCGGCTTGCGGCGCATCTCGGGGGACACAGCAGCCCCCCGCTGCTCCCGAGAGTGGGACGGGGCGGGCGGATCAACCCCCAAGCCGCGGGCGGCCACAGGCCCCTCAGTGGCAGGATTCCTCCGACTCCAAGAAAGGCGACGGGGAGAAGCAGGAGGGCTCGGATGACTCCGGCACCAGGGAGGAGGGCGCCCGGGCCTCGCCGTCGCCGGGGCGGTCGGGCCGGGGGGCGGCGGGCGGCACGGGGCAGGGCCCGGTGCCCGGGAGGCCGCGGGCGGCGGGGGGCGGCGCGCCGTCGGGGGCCGCGCTCAGCAGCTCCTGCAGGTACTTGATGTAGCGGATGGCGGCGCGCAGCGTCTCCACCTTGCTGAGCCGCTTCTCGGCCAGGGCGCCGGGGAGGTGGCCGCGGAGGCGCGCATAGCCCTCGTTGACGCACTTGACGCGCTGCCGCTCGCGCTCGTTGCGCTTCTGGATGAAGGCGGGCTCGAAGGGGTAATCGTAGACCCCGAAGGCGCCGGGGAAGGGCACGTAGGGGAACACCCCCGCGTAGGCGTCGTAGTAGGGCGGCTCGGCGGGCCCCGGGTACAGCAGGAAGGGCACGTTGCCCAGGGGCTCGGCGCGGGGCAGGGGCGCCTGCCGGGGAGGGGGCACGACGCCCAGCTGCATGCAGCCGGGGGAGCCCAGGGGCCTCCGGTCCACCAGCGCCCGGCAGAAGTTATTGTTCATGGTGCCGCGTGGAGCTGGACCCGGAGCGAGGCCCCCAGCGAATGGCCCCTGCTTGGGGTCTGCACGGTCTCCACCACTGGGGCGAGTCACATCGCTGGCAGCAGCTCGGGGGTGCCAGGACTTGCTAGGGCCTCTTCTCGCCCTTTAGGGTGGCTTCCGAGAACTCCCTAAAACGAGCCATCGCCCTGTGTGGCCCCTCCCAGGGGGTCGGTGCCCGCCTTCTCAGATCCAGCCCATGGCGCCGCGGAACTCTGAGGGCCGTCACCCCGCTCCACAGCACCCATGGGCACCGCCACAGACCCGTGCGCCCTGCCTCTTCCTGCCGTCCAACATGGGCACCTCCGGCCTAAACCCCAGGTTCCATGCCCCCTCCGCCACCCCAGCGCCTGGTTCTTGGTCCTCACGGCCTCGGGATCCCTGGGCTGTCAGGGGTGCTCACGCTGATGGCTGCTGTTAGGAGGGCACCAGCTCGGCGGAGGGAGTCCGAGGAACATTCTACGGAAGAGGAGAGGAGAGTGAACATATCAGTGAGGAAAGGCCTGTACTATGGGCTTCTTTGTATCATCCTCACCCACAAACGGGACTGTAAGCCTCAGGAGGAGAGACAGTTGGCTGCTGAAGGTGCACATATCTGGCTTAAAATCTTGTGCCCACCCCTTTCATAGTCGGGTGACCACTGTGAGTGGTGGTTCCCATAACGGAAGGACAAGGGAAACATCCTCGACAGGATATTAATAAGATATGAGAATCAGATGTGAAGAAATATATGCAAAACACCTCCTAAAGGGCATAGCTTATACAAATGCCCAATTTTGTCATGTCCCTCAAGAGTGGGGATTAAGTCTCATCACTGATCCCTTCCAGGGCTTTACATCTAGGAGGTCTGAGACCGTCTATTGAATTAGCAGCAGCAGCCATCAGCCAACAAGGGAAGCCATGTCTTCATGGAAAGGAATGCCCATTTGATTACAAGGTAGGTGTTGTTGGGCCGTTCAAAGCCCTCTGCCTGGCATAGACAGTCATCAAAGCCATCTTGCCCCTTTCCAGATGGTCTGGGAGACACCGTCTGACCCCACCCTGGGTTTCTCCATGGCACCTAAAGGAGTCGTCTGTTCTTTCACCTGCATGCCCCAAGCCTAGCTCGCCCCTGTCAAGTAAGGGATGCTCCACAAATCTGTGTGGAATAACTGAGAGAGGATTAGGCAGAGAGCTGGGCTTGTCAGGTTGGGACTGATTACACGTGGCCTTTCACAGGCTTTAGGAAGCTACTATTTCAGAAATGCTTGGTCTGTGTTGAGTTTAGGTGCCACCAAGCTTCCTTGCATGTGGTTATCAGATCCAAGTGAGGTGCCATTTTGTCTAGGAAGCCTCTCTGATCCCACTCCCCCGTCTCGTGTGTGTCTGCAGTGTCCCATAAGTGCCATGTTAGCACTTATTGAACTATCATTTTTCTCTTCTTCATAAAAAAAGCTCAGGACTCAGCAAGTGAATGAGTGATGGGCAGTGTGACAACTTGGCCACTGGGGACAGCCTCCCCAAGAGACAGAAAGGGCTGGCTCTCTCCCTGACAGGCGGCAAAGTCAGATTCCTGAGAATGTTTCTTTCTGCACTCTCTCACCTCCGTCCTTTTTGCAAGCCCTGAATCTGTTTCCAGCTGGCTTTGCCCTCCACGCTAAATGAGGACCAAGAAAAATCAACAATGATTCTAAGCATCACGGACTTAGATATGCTCTCAAGAGTGAAACCAGGCTGGGCCCAGTGGCTCACGCCTATAATCCCAGCACTTTGGGAGGCTGAGGTGGGTGGATCACTTGAGGGCAGAAGTTCGAGACCAGCCTGGCCAGCATGGTTGAAACCCCGTCTTTACTAAAAATACAAAATCTAGCTGGGTGGGCTGGTGGGCACCTGTAATCCCAGCTACTTGGGAGGCTGAGACAGGAGAATCGCCTGAACACGGGAGGTGGAGGTAGCAGTGAGCCAAGATCATGCTACTGCACTTCAGCTCAGATGACAGCAAAACTACACACACACACACACACACACACACACACACACACACACGTGTGAAACCAAATGTCTGAGAATTCAGGACAAATTCACATATCCCTCCCCTTCTCAGTGGCCTTCAAAGGCTCCCCGTTGCTTTCAAGAAAAGGTTCTAGAAAATGTCTCCCAAACAGACCCTCAGATCTATCAAGCCAGTCTTCTCTGGATCTCTTTGCTCTCCTGATCTCACACTTGGCTTACGCTGGCTCTGGTCCGGGGGGTCCTCTCTACACCTCTCTGCTTTACCCAGAGTCTGGCCATCCTCGATTCCAGCTCCTGTCCATCCTGACTGCCCGAGCTCTCCAGCTTCCAACATGGGGTGTTCATTCTAAGGTGGCACATTCTTTTTGAGGTTGTGCATTCTAAGTCTTCAACCAGAATGTAAGCAGCTGGAAGGAAGGGGCTAGGGCTTTTATTTCTCAGGTAATGCCTATCAGTCCTTCCTCAGTGCTAGGCACATAATGGGAGCTCAAAATGATTTTCCAGCAGTGCTCCTTTATTATACTGAGTTGGGATCCAGATTGCACTCTCCCATATGATTCCTGTCTATTCATATTGGATTTATTTTTTTTTTTTTTGAGATAGAGTCTCGCTCTGTCACCAGGCTGGAGTGTAGTGACGTGATCTTGGCTCACAGCATCCTCCTCCTCCCAGGTTCAAGGGATTCTCCTGCCTCAGCCTCCTGAGTAGTTGGGACAACAGGCTCGCACCACCACGCCCAGCTAATTTTTGTATTTTTAGTAGAGATGGGGTTTTACCATGTTGGCCAAGATGGTCTTGATCTCTTGACCTGGTGGTCTGCCTGCCTCAGCCTCCCAAAGTGCTGGGACCACAGGCGTGAGCCACCGCACCCGAGCTTGACTTAATTATTTAAATTTAATTTGATAGAGGTCAGAAGTTTATGACAATTTTAACAAATACAACTATCTGTTCGTGTTGATTCAATGTTTATAACTTATTTATTTTCCTCATATACTATTTATATTTTTTCATATAACAATTCAGAAAGGTGATTCAGACAAGAAATCTCACAGCTGGACCATGCATTTCTTAAGCCAATTCTGTCTTTATTGTTAGAAAAGAACGGACAGACCAGGTGCAGTGGCTCACGCCTGTAAACCCAGCACTTTGTGAGGCCAAGGAGGGAGAATCACTTGAGCCCCGAAGTTTGAGACCAGCCTAGGCAACATGGCAAAACCTTGTCTTTACAAAAAATTTTAAAAAATTAGCGGGGTGCAGTGGCACGTGTCTGTGGTCTTAGCTACTCAGGCAGAGGCCGAGGTGGGAGGATGGCTTGAGCCCAGGAGGCAAATGTTGCAGTGAGCCAAGACTGCACCACTGCACTCCGGCCTGGGTGACAGAGTGAGACCCTGTCTCAAAAAAAAAAAAAAAAAAAAAGAAAAAGAAAAATTAGAATGTATAGGCTGGGCGCAGTGGCTCATGCTTATAATCCCAGCACTTTGGGAGGCCGAAGCAGGTGGATCATTTGAGGTCAGGAGTTTGAGACCAGCCTGGCCAACATGGTGAAACCCCGTCTCTGCTAAACATACAAAAATTAGCCAGGAGTGGTGACATGTGCCTATAATCCCAGCTACTGGGGAGGCTGATGCACAGAATCGCTTGAACCCAGGAGGCAGTGGTTGCAGTGAGCTGAGATCATGCCACTGCACTCCAGCCTGGGTGACAGAGCAAGACTCCATCTCAAAAAAAAAAACAAACAAACAAACAAAAAAAACCTTACAATCTACCTGCCAGGTAGCATAGGTGAGTACACACCTGCAAGAGAACTGTGTTCTGCTTCCATTACTGAGTACAGAAGCCGAGGGGCACCGTGTAGCGCATGACCATTAAGCAGCATGATTTTCATTCAGTAAATGTGTGCGGAGGGCCCTGCTTACCCTGGGACTGCCCTAGGAACTAGGATAGAACAGTAAACAGGCATCGTCGTGAAATAATAATAATGGTGATGATAATCATAGCTACACTTATTATGCATCATGTGCAAGACACTGTGTTAAGAGCCTGACATGAATCATCTCCTTGAATTCTCACGCCGTCCTTGAGAGGTAGGTGCTAATATTATCTACTTTTACTGGTGAGAGACTTGAGGCCCATGAAGGTTAAGTCACTTTTTAAGGCCCCACGGTTAGGAATTCGTGAACTAATAAAGGCTAATCTACCCCCTCAGTTTCCTACCTCTCCCTATTAGTGGCTTCTCATCTGATCAAAGGATGGGAGAGCTTTACGTTGACCTAACAAAAGGATCTTAGTAAATTATAATTCCTGCTGGAAAGGAATTATAAATATAATTCCTGGAGGGGATGTCCCACTGAAGATTCAAATTATGATGCTGTTATTTAGCTTTGTTCTGATAAGAGAAGTACTGCAGTTCACCCTGGTCATCTTTTGGGAGGATAGCATCCCCTTGAAGATGTGCTTGGAGGGTGGCCCATGGGTTTCTGCTGCTGGAAAGATGAGGACTGGAGTATTGTCAGACGGATTCTAGCAGCAGAAGCCCCCTTGCCTGAGCTTAGAAAACCTGAGCAGAGGCCCCAGGAGCATCTGTCATTAGCAGGGAGCCTACTCATCCGCTGAGTTCATGGGACTGGGCAGAACCAGCTGTCAATGGCGCCACCGTGTGGTGATGAGAAGCAATGGCAGCTGCCCATGGGTGAAATTCCCATGCCGACCCCAAGGGTGTCATCACTTCCTGTGACAGCTCCTTTTGGGGACTGTGGGTCCCTAGGTCTTCTGGAAAATTCAGGGTAAGGGAAGACCCCTTAGGAAAACCTACTGAGTTTTCTGTCAACATCTACTAATGTTCTCCCTGTGTTTGTGAAGCAATTCATATCACCTAAGCTTTCACTATGTACCAATACATAAAATATGTATTAATACAATTAGATGTACTTTGTTTGAATAAAAAATAGCACATTGCATCAGCATTAGGCAACTTACTATAAAAATGTGGCTCCGAAACAGTGGAAGAGCTTTCCCTCCACTCTTAGCCCCCATGGCTAGCTGAATGAACCCATTGATTGCCCTGAGTAGGCACAGACGATTAGTTGCATGCAACGCTGTCTGCCTTTTTAAGGGGCCCTGGTTCCTCGCTGGGACAGGAGCCACTCCTCGCCCCCAGCAACCCATTCATCACCAGCTGTACTCTACTTTGCCCTGGGAAACAGCCGAGCAGATGTGCTTGGCAAGAAATGACTGCTGTGTCCCCCAAGAGCTTTCTTCGTGATGCAAAAGCTACACTGAGCTCTTACGTCTGTAGTCTGTGCTCAGTTGTACCATGCACAGTTATTGTGCAAATAACTTTCTAACCCTCAAATCTGACTTGCACCAGAGAGGGTCTCCCGGGCCTCCTTTGCAAGGCCTGGCTGCTTCTAGCTGTGCAGCATTAGTGTTTACCCAGCAGTATTAGCCCCTTGCTGTCCCTATTGCCAGAGGGTCTCACTGTCCACACCCCCGGGATGGCCCATTGTCATAACTTACTGTCAATGGTTTCATACTCATCCCCTGCCCAACTCTCCCAGGCCTCTCCCTGGTGCCCAACCTTCTCCAGGGCCCTGTCTCCCCACTCTCCTCAGCCTTATACTCTGCGTGAGCGACAGGCAGCCTGAGGGCCCTCTCCCCAGGGTCCTTCCTGTCACTGCCCCCTACCCAGGCTGTAAACTGTGAGCTCAAGAACTCTGGTCTCATCCTCCTTTGAGACACACAGTAGAAACTCAGTAAGTGTTTGTTGATTGACACTGGTGGGAAGTCCTGGGGAGACAAAGGCCGGGGTGAACTTTGCAGAAGCAGACAACATGATACTGCCTTTCCAGCTTTTCTCATTGTCTTTGCTGGGACTGGAACCAGGGCTGGGTCTGAGGTCAGAAAGTGGCTGAACATGTCTCTTTCCACAGGGAACCCGTGGCTCTGGAGGAGGTACTGGGGAACGGGATTCCATAGTCGTCTTCTCCTGCCACTCAGAGATTTCCGAGAGTTGACCGGTCCATAATGTTGCTTTTGGGAAGCAGCAGGGAGACTGCTTCCATAGCCTCCCCTCTACCCACCACTGCCAAAAGCTGGGAAGATTTGTAAGGAAGCCAAGGACTCAGAAAGCCAGAATTCATTCATTAGCTTTGTGGCATCCTCACTCAGCCCCCTGCCTCCAGGCAAGGTGGTTGCTTAAACCTTTCCCCTGAGGGCTCCATAAGTTGAGAAATGCAGCTCCCCACATGCCCCTCTGCCCCTCCTGGGATACCCACATTAGCATTAGCCCTTGGAGGGCACATTAGTGTCAGAGGCCCTGGGAAGCCCTTTGAGTAAAGAATCCTGTTTGTGCTTAACCCCTAAATTCCCAATTGGATCACAGAACACTTAAAAATAAATTGTCTTAAGCCTACTAACATCAAATAGAACACCCTTCAGGAAATTCTGCCTTTAAATATCCAGGATAAATATATTTCAAAAAACAAACAGGGGCCGGGAGTGGTGGCTCACCCCTGAAAGTAATCCCAGCACTTCCAGAGGCCGAGGTGGGAGATCACTTGAGCCCAGAAATTTGTGACGAGCTTGGGAAACTTGTGTTTCTAGTCTTAAGTCTTACTCACCCCTATATTTCCCTTTAGGAACTCAGTTTTGTAAATGGGTTTCAAATAGGGTTCTCTTTTAATTTTGGAGACCAATAATGAGCAGTGTCAATTTATTTTGCATTCATTAAGAAGGCCATCTTTTTATCACTGACTTGAAAAAAGTCTCTCATTAAATATCATGTTCATCTTTCATTAGGTTCTGCATACTTTAGGGGAGACCCTATCTCTACTAAAAATAAAAACAATTAACTGGACTTGGTGATGCACGCCTGTAGTCCCAGCTACTCTGGAGGCTGAGGTGGGAGTTCAGCCCAGGAGCTGGAGGCTGCAGTGAGCTGCACCACTGCACCTGGCTGAGTGACAGACCCAGACCCTATCTCAAAAAAACAAAAAAAAACAACTCAAAACAACAAGAAACCAAAGAGGAATCTTACAATCTCCCTTTCTGTCACATAAGCGGTAAATATTTCTAGGATAACCTCACCACCCCTGCTGTCAACACAGTGAACACTCCAGACCCCATATTCAACACAAACAATGCTTTCAGAATCTTGATGGATATAGTTTCAACGTTGATGGCAGAAGGGTCAGCCAGGCCCTGTGCCCATGAGCACACATGGCACCTTGCTGGGTTAGAAAATGATGCGTCATGCTCTGGGTGGCTGTCGAGCTGGGCAGGTGGGATTCCAGCCCTACTTGCCCCTTAACCTGCCCTGAATGAGGCAGTACCATCCGT